AGATAAATAGATAGATAGATAGATAGATAGCTAGCTAGATAGATAGATGGATAGATAGACAGATAGACAGATAGACAGACAGACACACAGACAAACAGACAGACAGACAGATAGATAGACAGACAGACAGATAGATAAATAAATAGATAGACCAATAAGAGTTAGATAAGAAAAATGTTGTAAAGCTCATAAATCCTACTCACAGGGAGGGATGAGTGTCACATAAGTGCGATCAATTATTAATCTGTCATTTCATACAGAGCTGAAGACATCAGGCTTGATAGGGAACAAAAGGGGCTTTGACAGAATGATTTTAAGTGCTGGCGTTGGAGTTGGGGATGGGAGGGGTTTGGGGGGGGGGGCGTAGTAGAGATAACAGACATTGAATAGTAAGTGCTTCAGTCAGTACCATTTTGACTATTTGTGTGGTGGTCTGGGAAAACCAGAGATGAGACAGAAAGACATGCAGACAAAAGAACAAATAGACAAAGCAACATAATAGAGACAGCGGCAGGTGGAAAAAAGAGCGAGGTAAATATGAGGTTGTAAAAATAGAATTGTTAGGGAAAAAAGGTCAATTCACGCCATAGGTAAAAAACTGAGTAGACAAGGACCATTTCAATATCTTTTCATTGTAAACTAAACTATGTTGTTAATATAATATGCTCAAATGTGTTATTTTGAATAATTCTTATTGTCTAACCTACCCTCTCCTACGTAATAGAAACATCTCGAAACTTTGACATCGTTGTTCTCAGTTTTGTTTCTTCAAGAGGGTGCTGTCTTTGAATTTAATCCCCCCCCCCAAAAAAAAAAAAAAAACACACCAAAAAAAAAAAAAAAACCCCCTACAAACTAATAAACCAAAACCCAAAACCCAAAACAACAACAACAAAAAACACTTTAAAAACCCAAACACAACAACAACAAAACAACCCAAAACAAAACAACCCTCCCCTCCAAAAATTGACAACAGCAACAACAAGAAACAAACAACAACAAAAACAACAAAACAACCCCCCACTAGGACACAATAACCACCCAGTGGCGGTGGGTGGACCAAGATTTGGGTGGGGCTTAGGTTTCTTCCACTTCTTTACCACCAAAAAGCGAGCAATAAGAATAAAACAGTGATGATTTTGCTATATTCACGGCGAGCCACGGCATTTTGAGAACCATTCAAATGAGAAGAGTCACCTTCGTCTTCTATCTCTTTGTTCTTAGTTAAATTTAAACTTTCCTGGATGGTGGGGACGAAGCCGTTTCACCTCCATATTTCTCTAATTAGTTTTTATCTGAAGAAAAGGTTGCCTAAAAAGTGGTTTGATGTAATTAATAACTGTTAAATCTCAGCGGCACAAACACACAGAACTCGAAACACATACCGTCTATGAGGTGGACTGGGTCGTGTTGTTGCGGAAAATAGAACGCGCTTATCAAAGGCCCAATGGGGGCATAGGTATCTGTGTCACTGGGGGAAAGTGTGTCGTAAACTTTCACGCCATTGTCAGGGCTGGGAGAGCGTGAGCCCTCTGTGCTAGGGCTGGGTCGCGAGGGCGAGAACGGAATTGAATCGCCACTCTTGCCTGCGGAACGCGATTCTCGATTCACTTCAGCGGAACGCGGAACAGTATCGCCAAACGATT